TCAAATAAAATAAGGTTTAACTCAAAGACCCCAACCCGATGTTACACTATCAGAGCATGACCCTTTAAGTCAACCATTATGCCCAACGACCTAAAACTTCAAAACCCCTCAACGGCATCCACGACTAAACCTGGTCATCTGCACATTACCCACGTGGAGGCAACATTCAAACAGGCAGGGTGAGTAAAACGATTCATGATAATCAATGTAGGAAATCAATATATAAAATGGCGTTATTTTCATATTCAACAACATCATATTCATCAAGGAACATCAAAGGCCACAACATCATAATTTACTCAATATCATCTCATAAATGCAAAAGCAACAAGACTCAATGCATATGGTACCAATCATCACAGCTCGATGGACACTGGGCCATCAACCCTCCATAGATCCCCATCAATAGGATCGATTCTACTCGAGAATCGGAGCACATCAAAATACCTCACATCCGCACAATGGGATTCAAGCCAAAGAAATCAAGGTCTTGAACCGAAGTCTGGATGCACATGAATGCATGATGCACACATCAATAATCATCCTCATACTAACATCATAGGTGCATCATCATTCATCATAATCATCATCATAACTCATGTCATCATAGAATCATCAAAACTCAAGGAAATATCATCATGGATCATCAATCATTACATCATAATAATCATCATATAATCATGTACAAATCACATAGAATTCACAGTCATACTCATATTCATTCGTCAAAGAAATCACAGCATCAAAACATCAAGGCATCACTGCCCAAAATCAGAATTTGCGAAACTCTACTACGTTCGCTAGCAAGTTCGCTGTGCGAGTCTGGGGAGAGTTTCTTCGTTGTGCGAAGAATTCTTCGTAATGTGAGTCTGGGACGCGTTCGTTCGCTATGCGAACACACGATTACAGCAAAACATTGTTACGCACCAGAACCTAAAATCAATCCAAAAGTCCCACGATTCACTTCCTCAATAACCCAAAAACATCCCTAAGTCATCCCTAAGGTCTTACGACGATAAAGGCACAAAATCTACGACTTATTAGGCCAATCTCGTATCATATTCACGCTCTAAATCCCATAAATCCTTACAACTACACCACATTCATTAGAGTTCCTCATTATCTAATTTCCCTACAGGGTTAGACAAGTGTCAAATTAGAGCTTTGGCCATGAAGGCCTAATTTCCTTTAACCCAAATAAATCCTTACGGTTAAAATCTCAAGAATAGATTTAGGCCATGAAGGCCAAATTCCCTTTATCCCATAATCAGTCTCAAACCCTTTAAACCCTTAAATCGGCCTTAAATACATTGAAATTACACATTGAAAACAATGAAGGCAATACTCCCCATACCTTAATTGCCGACTCTAAGCCTTCTCAAATCTTTCAGAAAACCTTTCGAAACTCTTGCCTCAAACCTCCTCCTCAGAGCTCTGGCCTCAATTCTTTTCACAGTCTAGCAAAATAAATTCTAATCCCATCACAATTCCCTTTTTGTTAAACCTAACCTTGGGCCTTAAAATTGGGCTTTTCAATATTACCCTCACTAACTCCTCCTCAATTGTCCAATTTGCCCTTAGTTAACTCATATTTATTTAAATTAATAATAATGCTAATATATTCATATTATATACTATTATTTAAATAAGTAACTTAAAAATCCATAATTCTCCATATTCCACAACAACCACTGAAAATCACTGAAATGCGAATATTCTTATTTAAATAAATTAAATAAATATTCCAATTAAAATTTAGGGTGTTACACCCCTTCCTCCTTCGGAGTTAGGGGAAGGAATATGACACATGTGTCATCAGTGACTTGGATATTTTTGGACGTCTTTTGGATCCTTTCTTGGCTCGACAACTTTATACGAGTTTGCCTCCTATAGAGTGTTTTTCTTTGGGATGGTATTGTGCAGGGTCTCTTCGATCCGAGTTATTTTGTCTTCCAAGGCATGTGAGTATTGTTGATGAACCATCTAGTTCACGTTGTTCAATAACTCATTAACTCTTTGTAAGCCAAGAATAGCCTACATCAGTTGGATGTCGGAGAGTGTTTTACGTCTGGCTATAGCTAGCAGTAACGTATGTCTGAAGGAAGGTCCGCCTAGGTGAAACTGTGTAGTGGATCCGGCAAATGGAGGAAGTTGAGAAGTTCCTTGATCTTCCTTAGGTTGGACAAAGTTCTTTGACAGATGAAAAAAATGATTAGTTATCAATACCCGATCATCCTTCCATCGAGAAGGAGGCGAAGGATTCCTAGTCGCTTTGATGGTTGTAGCTGCTTGTTATTGAACAAAAGAACAAGTGAATTTGGAAGCTGCCATCGTTTAATGGATCTGATGGAAAGACTTCGATTCCGAACTTTATGGAGTTCATCTAGAGATGGAGATCTGCGCTTCAATTGAAGGAGATCTTGATTTGATTAAGTTGAATCAAGAAACGATGGATCGTGTAAATGGTAGGAATCAAAAGTTAATTTTTAGAGACGATGTTAATGTTATGCTCTGGCACTATATTGTGATCAAAAGGTGAATTTTCCGTTTGTTGTGGTAGTTCACGGTTTCTAATGTGGTGAAGAGGAGGTTGACCTGCAAAGTTAACACTTCAATACACAAGTCAATTAAAGAGCGAAAAATGAAATTTGAATGTGAATGATTCGAATACCTGAAGAGTGACATGTGTTCCTCTTTAAATAGAGCAGATGGTTCGTAACTGCATATACATTGGACACAACCAACCTTTGGATTGATCTGAAAGATTGACACGACATCCTCGTGATGGATACTCTATGTCACATAGAGAAAAGAGTGTACGTACTTATTCTTTTTGTGGCAACTTCTTATTTTACTACTAGACTTTCACTTCTTATACCTAGTGGCTAACCCAAGCCAAATAGTAACCCAAAATGGAATAAATAACTCAACGGAGAGTCAAACAACTATAAAAACAAAGAATAAAACAACCCAAGCACAATAAAAATAAACATTCCTTCTCATCTTTTTATAAGAGACGCTTGGATTGAAAAAATGATATATTTAATTTAATATATGAACTAAATACCTTAAATGTTTCATATATAAAAATACCGAAGGAAGGAGTATATCTAAAACAAAAACTAAATTTATTTATTTTGATATTTAATTGATCAACTAACTTTAGATTACATGTTAGTTACATGTTTTTGAATGAAATAAATAGTATATTGAAAATATTAGTATTAAGTAGTTTAAAAATCGTTAGCTATTAATTTAGTACATGTTTTTGAATTAAATAAATAGTATATTAAAAATATTAGTATTAAGTAGTTTAAAAATTGTTAGCTATTAATTTATTTTATACAATTTTAACTGATTTTTTTTTTAAATAACCATGTTTAAAAAAAATCCCTAAATAACCAATTTAAAAAAAAAATCAAATTAAAGTGTTATTGTCTACGACCATGAAAAGAGCGTGTCACCATATGTGGCGTATGCACTTATGATTTGGCTTAAAGTGTTATTGTGGCGCATGGTTTTAGGAGTAACCAATGTGTATGATGCATGCATGCAACTTTTAAGAGCATGCATGCAATAACACATGTTTTTAAAAGTTGCATATATATATATATATATATGAGAAATGATATGGTTACACCCAAAAGTAACACTACACCAACTTTTATACTATACATTCTACCTTTTTTATTTTATTTATTATTTTTATGAAAATTAAAATTTATGCTGCATTGAAAATGAAGCTAGGAGCTACGGTGTACAGGTACGGTGTAAATACTTTGGTGTAAACATAGCACTCCTCATATATATATATATATATATATATATATATATATATATATATATATATATATATATATATATATATATATATATATATATATATACACGCCACACTCATTAGCTACTTTTAAGAATGACGCCTTAGAAAAAAATATGAGTGCATAAGCCATTGTCTATGGTGCATTCTCTTGAGATTTAAAAAGTGATTATTTTAATATAATATATTTTTAAAAAAATGGTTATTTAGGAATTATTTTGGAAAAACAAGTTATTTAAAAAGAATTCACTTTAATATTTATTATAATGATAAAAAATTTTAATTTTTTTTTGTTTTTGATAGTGAAGTGATGGAGTATACTTATTAGCATTTCCATTATATTAAACTTTCGTTTAATCAAATAGTGTAAAAATATTAATCAAATCCTAAATATACTAAAGGGAACACGAGAATAAAAATCACCGGCAAAAGTCGGCAGCCGGCGGTTAAGCACGTCGGAATGAACATGGGGATTGCATTGCACGTAGATACCAACAAATAACCAGATCACCAACAAAATCAAATCTCAGCCCTCCATTCCACTTGTACCCTCCATCTTAACCGTCCAATTTCCCAAATGTATTTTGTTAACGCGTTTCACCAACATTCTTTCTAACAGAAAAAACGACATAACTTTCTGTCTTTATCTCTCTCTTCCATTTTTCAACGTGATTTCCGTCACGTTGAGATTCATTTCCATTCCCCATTTTCAATCATTAGAATCAAACACGCTTTTTTTCTTCTTAGGGTTCATTGAATTTGGTACAATTTTGGGGTTTTCACGTTAATTTTCCACCTATAATTTTAGCATTCTTCAGAATTCTACAAAATCTCTGTTATCCCTCTTTTATAGCATATACTTGCATGTTTATGTTGCACTCTATCAATTGCATTGCACCATCAAGCTTATGATCAAAGGTAAACACACATTTCCTTTGTTTATGAATCATATTTCTTGTTTATGAATCATTAATTGGGGTTTTGATATTTTTTAGGTTTGAGTTTCTATTTTTTCACATATTTCTTGTTAATGAATCAAAGTCTCTGACACAGACACCTGACAGGACACGGATACCTGATAGGATACGACTAGGACACAGACACCTATAGGCTAAACCTTGGCATGGTCATACGACACGAACAAGGAATGATGCTTGAGATAGGGGGTAATTAATGTTAGATGGGAAACAACTGTATTGGATCGGGAACCTCGCAATCAAAGGATGTGTCATCACCCTCAGCTCTTCCAAGTCCTTCTTGCTGGCCGCGTGGTGGAACGAAGAAAGATACTTCTGATGCATACAAAACCAGTTCAACAAGAGCTACAGAAGCTGTTCAAAACAAGGCACCACCGGTAGTGAAAATTGAGAATGAGGATGTAAAGCCAGTGCAACAACAAAAACCTCAAACGAATGAAGGTGTTGTTGCTACACCTGCAAAACAAAAGAGACCTCAAAATGTGAAGAGACTAGCAAGTGCAGGACTCAAAGCGGATTCGGTTTTACAGCGAAAAACGATTAGTCTTAAGGAGTTTTATAATTTGGGACAAAAGCTTGGACAAGGGCAATTCGGAACAACGTTTCTTTGTGTGGAGAAGGCAACTGGGAAAGAGTATGCATGTAAGTCTATCTTGAAGAGGAAGTTGTTGACAGAGGAGGATGTGGAAGATGTGAGGAGAGAGATTCAGATTATGCATCACTTGGCTGGGAGCCAAAGCATAGTTTCGATTAAGGAAGCTTCTGAAGATGCTGTTGCTGTTCATGTTGTTATGGAGTTGTGTTCAGGGGGTGAGCTTTTTGATAGGATAGTGGAAAGAGGGCATTATACTGAGAGAAAAGCAGCTAAACTTGCACGGACTATTGTTGGTGTTATTCAGTCGTGTCATTCTCTCGGAGTAATGCATCGTGATCTTAAGCCGGAGAATTTTCTTTTTGTTAATCAACAGGAAGATTCTCCTCTTAAGGCAATAGATTTTGGACTATCTGCATTTTTTAAACCAGGTTTGTCCAAATTCATTTCCTTTTTATCTTCAACTGTCTGTTTTTTCACATATTTATCGAATGCAGATTCATACCGTAAAATACATTTACTGCAAAGAGACTAACACTTACATTTTACAGGTGAGATTTTCAATGATGTAGTAGGAAGTCCATATTATGTTGCACCTGAAGTTTTACGCAAGCGATATGGCCCAGAAGCAGATGTTTGGAGCGCCGGTGTCATCTTGTACATTCTCTTATGTGGGGTGCCTCCATTTTGGGGAGGTAAGAGTTCTCAAGACATCAAACTCGCTATATTCCAATATAGTGATTTGCTTAATCTATGTGTCCACGCAATTATAAGTTTCCTAGTTCTAAAAAAATTAACATTTATCTTGATCCTTTGAAATAGAATCGGAGCAGGAGATATTTGAGGCCATTTTGCATAGTGATCTTGATTTCACATCAGATCCATGGCCTGGTATATCTGAAAGTGCAAAAGACTTGGTTAAGAAGATGCTTGTTAGAGATCCTAGTAAACGGTTATCAGCTTTTGACGTTCTTCGTAAGTTTCTCCACTGTTATCTCATTGAGATCGATACTAGTGAAACAAAAGTTATTAGGCAGCATACTACTTAGTTCCGTTCCACATTTGACATGCATGTGTAATTGGCTTTCGTAGATTTTCCATACATAGTCTTATTTCTTTTGTAAAGTTCCAGTAGTTTTCTCAATACGCCTTCAAATTTCAACACTTCAGATGCAAATCTCTTAATGAAGTTACTCATTCAGTGAAATTTTCATGGATCTTTATATTTTGTAAAGTTGAACATTTTAGTTTTTCATGGATTACAAATCATTGTAACATTGTTGAACTTGAGGTCTTTTATCACATTGTTAATGATGATGATCTGATTTTTTGCAGGTCACCCCTGGATTCAGGTTGATGGAGCAGCCCCAGACAAGCCTCTTGATTCTGCAGTTTTGAGTCGCATGAAACAGTTTACTGCAATGAACAAGCTCAAGAAAATGGCTCTTAGAGTAAGTTATTTTTTCCGTCACATAACTCAATACAACATATTTTTATGTTTACTTGGATTGTCAAATTGTAAATGTTTATGCCGTTCTGTGCAGGTTATTGCCGAGAATCTCTCTGAAGAAGAAATTGCTGGATTGAAAGAAATGTTTAAGATGATCGATACAGACAATAGTGGTTACATTACGTTTGAAGAACTCAAGGTTGGACTGAAAAAATTTGGTGCCAATCTTAATGAATCTGAAATTTACGATCTAATGCAATCTGTAAGTATTAGTTCAGAATTACTCATCTTTGTTTCCTTAACTCCAGAAAACATTCATTAATCATAGCTGTTAACTTCTATGGTATCTTATTTATATACTGGTTCATGTTCTTATAATTACTTTAGAAACACTTCAGTTATGATGTGGTGCGACACGTTTGGTAGAAAATCAAGACTCTTAGACATATGCTAAGAGGTTTGAGTTAATACTATATTAATTTGACGCATCATTCCAATCGTTTTCGAATTTCAGGCAGATGTTGATAATAGTGGTACAATTGACTATGGAGAATTCATAGCTGCAACATTGCATTTAAATAAAGTTGATAGGGAAGATCATTTAGTTGCAGCTTTCTCATATTTTGACAAAGATGGAAGTGGGTTCATCACTCGAGATGAGCTTCAAAAAGCTTGTGAAGAATTTGGCTTAGGGGACGTTGGCTTGGAGGAAATGATCCGAGAAGCTGATCAGAATAATGTGAGTATATACTTTTTTTTCTCTGTTTCTCAGAACCGGATTCTAAATGTTGGATTGATAATAACTTTGTTATGCATGTTTTGGTTTTTTAGGATGGACGAATAGACTACAATGAATTTGTAGCTATGATGCAGAGGGGGAATGCAGAAATCGGTAAGAGGGGTCGAAAGGGTAGCCGTAGTTTAAGCATTGCATTTAGGGAGGCACTACCAGTATGCTAATGTAAGAAATGTTTACACTATAGTAGTGGATGATTTTCTCTCAAATTTTGTAATGTAGCATTTTCTCCATGGTGTATTAAATTGAACATAGTTTCTGAGAGAAAATAGCTCTTATTACTTAAAATGTTAATAGGGTATTATATGAGAGAACTTATTGCATCTTTGCTATCATACTGTAAAACAACTCAAGTATAACATATGGTACTACAGGAGTTGAATAGTCACTAGTGTTGATATGACGAAGTGACTTTGTTGGGACACGATTAACTGCAATGACAAGTCGTGCGAACACGAGGCATGTTCTCTATTGAGCGTGTTAGCTGGTAGCTAGGAAATTATGTGTGCTCAATAGAGAACATTGGTTGTAAGACTCCACCTTTGGTTGTAGTTTTTCGTGCATTGTTGAGGTGTGGGTCTGTAGCAGTTGTAGGGTGTTCGCACGTGATTTTCGTGCGGACAACCTCTGACCTTCCTCCGCGGGTTTGCTTGCGGGATCGGCCAAACTAGTCCCAGAACATTAGATTTGGGTGGATTGTTTACTTGGGTTTATGGCGCATTTTGACGGTTATTTGCTTTACGGAGCGTGTAGGATTAAACTTAGGCAAATAAAGGAAAGATAAGACAAAGAAATGTTGAGACAAAGGCGTTAAAGAAATGTTGAATAAAACGCTACTCTAAATAACATAAACACTTGGTAAATTTAACGTGAAAAAGGAAAACACAACTGGACGCATTCGTACATTTTGGAATGACAAAGTAAAACTCTGTTCTCTTTAGTGTGTGGTACTCATAGTGTTTTTCTTCCAACGCTGACAAAAGACACTCTTATTTTCAAACAAGACTTTGCTTTATATAGACACATAAAATAACTGCCAGAAGGCTTCAGGATGCGCCACGTGTCAATCCATGACTTCTGAAACTACTTCTACGCTCCTCTTTTCAAGTGATTTTCCGCCAGGCACAAAACTTCTCCCGTCGAGGGTACCCCTGTTGGTTTTCTTTTGGGTCGACCGACACAAGAACCTGTCGACCATGCCACTTTGTAGTGTTGATTCAGTGCGTGTTTCTTCTAGGTTTTGTTGTTGTCGATCCTTGGCTTTCACCCAAGGATTTTGTCGGTCTAACGCCTACTTCCTCTAGCTCCTGTCGAGGTTGATGCTTCCAATTGGCTAACTTCCAGCCAACAAGATGCCCCACCAAAACCCAAGCTTCGACGGAGACCTCTGTCGACTGAGAGGCTTGGTGTTTTTCCCAGGCATGTAGTAGTTGTCTGTGTCATTATGCCTTTTCTGTCGAATCATCCACGTGTCATTCGCCCCCTGACGTGACGATGGCACCTTTCTGCGCCACAACTTTCAAGAATTTCCATCATTCTTTTCCACTTCCCCACGTCAGTACCAACTCCCACTCATTACTTTCCCCAAGAGTGAGCAACTAAAAAGCCTCTTACCTTTTCGTCTTCCACACTAGTATTGAGTATAAATAACCCGTAAGTCCCATTTTAGAACTTTTCCCCTTAATACTTTTCTGCGCTTCTTCTTCCTCAAACACAACAACCACCAGTTTCTCAAGAACCACCATTTTCAATGGCATCTCCATCTTCCCAAACTCACACAACAGGCAACCACCCCATTGCCTTCGTTCTGTCAGAGGCTAATGCTCACAAACCACTCCCAAACCCCACTTCTGCTGACGAAAACGTCGTGACGGCCTGGAAGAAAAAAATGATTATCCCTTTTGCGGTGGTCGAAAAGTTTCATGTGTTTCACGGTCCTTACCCTCTTGGCAAGCCTAGCCATGAAGCCATGAAGCCATTTTTTCCTGGATTTCCGGCAGTCATGCCTCTAGCTTTCCGCAAAGGTGTCAAACATGATTTAAAATTTATGGCTCCAAAAGCTAGGGTGTTTTGCTCGATGCCCACCCCAGGCAACAAAGACTACCTTGCCTGGTTGAACAAGGTTCAAAACAAACGTCAGACCCAATGGAAAAGGTCTGGCATATTCGACGCCATCCAGCTGTTGAGGAATGCTCACAGGGTTAACCCCTGCCTCCGTTTTGCGTCGATATTCTTATGGGAAGGTTCGACGAACACCTTCCAATTACCCTGTGGGATGTTGTCGCCTAATCTCTTCGACGTGGCGGCTATTACTGGTCTCTCTCCAGTGGGCAAAACTTTCGACCCCACCATTGAGACGAAGGTCTCTTTCGACTTCGATCGGGCTGATTTTCAGAATTTTATCGAAGATCATCACGACACAGACTCAGTCGAGGTGTCTGACGAAGAGCACATTGCCTTCCTGACTTTGTGGCTTTCGTACTACCTCTTCTGCCCAGGTTCTTTGCAGATAGCCAAAAGTTATATCAACCTGGCTATTCAAATTCATGAGGGTCGACAGGTGGCCCTGGGCAAGCTCCTTCTAGCCTCTCTGTATCACTCTGTGGGGCTGGCGTCTCTGAAGATTGCCCATCTTTATGACACCACCAAAACCCTGACGTGTCGGGTCTAATGTGGTTGTTGCAACATTGGCTAAACGCCACTTTTGAACATCATCTGGGCTACCCAACGTCGACCAAGATGCAACATTTGATTGAGGACCGGTCGGTGGAGGGAGTTTGACTTGCTCTTCTGACTCCTCAAGAGACTCCCAACAAAACCCTTTTTCTGAAATACCTCACTATGTTTGTCGAGGAAAACGTCTTTGTTCCTGAGATGGCACCCTTCGCCCATCGAAAGTTTGGGCCGACTTGGTTCCAGAATCCTTTTCCTGGTACTTCCCCCAGCACTACTACAGTATCCAACTCCATTTGGAGGGCTTTCCTAACCCCGACGATGTTGTCATTTCATATCGACTCGAGCAACACTGGGTACGGTTTTATGAACTACCAGCCCAATCAGGTTGCTCGACAGTTTGGCCCGAGCCAGATGCTACCAAAGCCATTGGTTCGTTTCGCAATTGCGAAAAACACCTGGCGGAAAACAGAAGAGTCTCCACCTTTCGTTATTTATCCCAAAGAGATAAAAAGGAAACGATCGGAAAAACCTAACGAAAAAGGAAAAAGACGAGGTCATCGCAACCAAGTCCTGGATTCGGAAGTCGGTTACGCAAGGGGAAGATATTAGCACCCCTCACGTCCGTCGTACTCGACGGGATCCACGCTTGTTATCTATCTAAGGGTGTGTTTATCTATCTATGCTAAAGGCTCACGGGAAAAAAAGAAAAGAAAAGAGACTCGGCAGAGCATCACCGCTCTGTGTCTACGTATTCCCTCGTGCAATGGGAAAGTCAGGGCCAACGTGGTTCGGCTAACTACGGGTGAAAAAGGGGGGAAGGTTGCTCGCCAAGACATCGTCGTCTTGTGCCTACGTATCCTCATCTAGTATGAGAAATCAAAGCAAACGTAGTTCGGGCTAACGAGAACACCGGTTGGTTCAACACGTTTTACCCGAGTAGGGTTAAACCTTTGTTCTAGCAGTTAGGGAGATGCCTGTTTGCGGTAGGACCAAAGCTTAACAACACTCTTTTTTTATGAAAAAGGTTTTCCAGTATTAAGGGTCCCAAAGTACAAAAAGCGTTTGAACTTTGTTTTTGTGTTTTTTAATGAAGTGAGTTAATTCGGTTTGTGATTCACGTTACACTAAAGACTATGACCTAGGAGCAAATGCGTCACATATCACCCAAATGGTGCACACTAAACACTCTAGGCCATTGAGAGGAAGCCCCCCAATCACCATTTACCAAGTAGCTTAAGGTTCGTAGCGCACAACATTCATCGTATTTATTAGATGAGTTAGAATGATTTTGAGATGAGAAGAGAGACGCACGGAGGGTCTAAGGGAAACTCGGCCCTAACGTTGTCATGCAAAGTGGTCCTAAGATTAGGATTGAAAGGGGAAACATCTACCCTAATTTTAGCATGCATGGTTTGATTCCTAATGTCTATCATAACCTCAAAATATATTAGAGATCCTATGGGGAGCATGGCCAAGAAAGACAAAGGAAGAAGAAAGATCAAACATCAATAAGAGTGAAATAGGGATGCAAATAGGTAATGCAACACACAAGAAAAGGGAGGAACAAAGTGTGGGGTAAACACCACCACAAGCACATCTCGACCTTTATTAATGCAATAAAATAGAGATGCAAAACACAAGAGGAAATGCAAATGCAAGAACATCATCACTATGAACAACAACACACAAGTGTGCATCCAAGTGGAGAACAAAACCAAGCCGATGAAGTCTCGATTAAACAACCAAAACAATGACAAAATGTCTAGAACATTTCACTTCTAATGCATCGTATTGAACTACGATGATTCGATGCGAAACGGTACCCAAACAAGCAAGAAAATCAGCAAAACAGACCCACTGGCACAGTGTTAATCGGTTAACGCCAGAGGTTAACCGATTAACCACTGAAAAATGCTTGAAAATCTGGAAATGTGTTCACGTTAATTGGTTAACCATATGCGTTAATTGATTAACACCTTGAAAACTTTGAAAATTTTGAATATTTGAAATGGTTAATCGGTTAACCATATGTGTTAATCGATTAACATTGTGCCAACAACAGAAAAACAGCAACAGAACAACATGTTCAGTAAATAAGCACTTATCCGACCCACCGGATGATCACATAATCACTTAATCACGAAATTAAACCAGCAAATCATGATTCAAACAACATATGAACAGATTAACACAACCAAATCATGGATCAAACTGATCAAATTAACCACAAGCTAATCAAAGATGAAAATCCACATGATTATGCAAATAAGCTAAAAATAGATTCGGATCCAACCTTCGGAGCGGAGATTTGCTCCGGTTAATGTTGATTCAACTGTAATTGAACATATCCGATGCTAGAAGTTCGGAATACTTCAACTTCCACACCAATTCTTGAAGTAGCAATGAAGATCCTTCAAGATTAAGCCAAATTAAGCCAAATAATCACTTCCAAAATCACTTCCAAGTTCATATCCAATTTTGCACGAAA